GAACGTCCTAAACATGCAGTCGCTCTTGAGACCTGTATTGAAACAATTGAAATTAACAAGTATAAAATCTATGTAAAGTTTATACCGTTTCCAAAAAAACAACAATTTAGTGACATATCAAAAAATTTTAAAAATAGGTGAACGAGATGCCGAGCAGAAACGTGTGAAATTTTAAAAGTGCGCCCAAGCCCGAGAACATAAGAACTATTTCAAGCATACGATCATACGCTTTTATTGCTTGATTTCCTGACTTGTCTGTTGCTTTAAAAATCAGTTTAGCATATTGTTATAATTTAAAAGCAAATACAAATCAAATTTGGCAAGTATATATGATTCTCAATGTTGATCGGTACAAAACACTCACTCCTTGCAATAGAAGTGTAAAGTACGAAAGTGGAAACATGTAATTTGATACTTTGCCCACTCCCCCTTGAGCGATCAAATTTCCGTGTGACACGTGACCAGCCCCAGCCAGGGTCTTTGCTTCACAAGAGGAAAGAGCCTGGGAACGAGGTTGTCAAGTTGTAGGCTAAAATGTAAGAATGCCGTTATATTGAAATTTTTTTTGAAGATTTATGGTCTACAAAGGAAAAACATATCGAAATTTGAAGGGAATTTATAAATAAGTTTTCGAGATATTCGTGAATGACGGTTACAGAAAAAGTTATTTGTAGAATTTCTTAAAATTTGGATATGTTGTACCACTCGTCTTGTATAACAAAAATACAAAGTTTAAAAAAATTTCACCGAAGGAAACACGAGAAAATCATCGCTAAAAGAAGAAAAATCGACTCGACATGAGCACGATCTTCGCATGCGTGTAAATTGTAGTGTGTGATTTATAGTGATTTCAACTGTTTGGTTTACAATACATAAGAAAACAGATATTTCTGACTTGTTTGATACGAAAATAAAATATTAATCTTGAAAATACTAATAAAAAACACTATTATAGGCATTGTATTAAATCCAGTGTTAGTTTACATTTGTTTTTGTTGTTAAAATCGGTGTGAAAACTTTTCAAAACATCGAACTACAAGTTTAACTTTTCATATAAAACAACTCATAACTGTTTTATTTGATTTAGAAGATAAAACGATACCTGTGAATTGAATTGATTGACAGAACTTATATAAGTTTCGGCAACAGTTCACTACTGTTCAAGAATTAATAGAAGAAAGTATCATTTCAATTTGACCGCTCACAAAACAACAAGTTGAAAATTTTGAGCAATATGAAAGACAATACTGAATGTAAATACGTAAAAACACACTAAAAGATAGGTTAAACTAGTTAATAACATACGTACTGTTCGAATTCAGAAAAATTTAGGATTATAATGAACAGTAAACACGACGATTCCACTCGCAGGTCGCGAGGATGAAGTCTAATCTATATAAATCGTATTTAAACTGTACTAACTGTAGGGAGCCACCTTAAAACACTTGCCTTTCAAATGTTATATAATGAATATAATTTTGCCTCTTCCAGGGTACGTATAGCTCAGGGAATAGGGTGTCCCTAGTGCCCGAGATCATATAAACAGCACCTAAGAGATGACTACATTTTAATCGCAGTATAATAATTTACATGCACAATGTAGATTCCCTCTGAAAAATGCAGTATATAAACCCATAAATGGGAAGATGCTATTGGAAAGGAAGATGGAAACTGGAATGCAAGACCGTGCAGTCGCCTGGGCAGCAATCATTCCCTGCCAAGTGACTACCAGCGTCCAATACAAAAATGTAAATTTAGCTGTAAAATTCAGCTGTAAAATTCAGCTGTAAAGTTCAGCTGTAAAATTCAGCTGTAAAATTCAGCTGTAAAATTCCGGGCTCAGGGGCCGGTTGTATCGGGTAGGAAAACCGGAATTGCTAGCTCCATACCATCTACCTGCAGCAGTGAATGAAATGCCAGCTGAAGACCACAGATTGTACCTGGTGAAGTATGTTTCTAACACATACCTAAGTTTGAGGTTGTCTTCTTATTGGCGATGATTTATTCTAAGGCTGTCATTAACTTTGGAAAGCCCAGTTCGAGGCACCACCTTACAAAGACAATTCTGTTCCTCAACAGTAACTGGTTGTATTAAAGAGATTGAAGAGCCAAGAGAACTCAAGACAGTGAACCACTGCACATTTTGAATTTCGATTTTGTACTGTGTATTTAATATTGAACAAATATGTTATTAATAACTATACGTTTAACGTTTTCATTTCAAAAAGTCATGGTATTAAAGAGAAAGCAAGATACATTTTATACCTATCAATTTAATATATTAAAGGTTGAAATGAACCATTTGTAAATTTGCTTAACTTGTCCTTATTAATAAATTGTATGCATTTTGTTTAGCTGATTTATCATGATCATGGCAGTTAAATGTTTTAATAC